ATCAACAACACATTTGAGCAAGTGCTTCACTTGTCATTTCAACGGGCCCAAAATGCAATCTTAAAATTAAGCATGTAGCTCAGTGCTGTGTTCAAATGGAAATGCAAAACTCTAATTCAGAGATGATACCTTTTATTAGACCAACTAAGAAATTGCAAAAAAATAAAATAATAATAATAATAATAATAATAATAATAATAATTTTTTTCTGGCAAGCTTTCAGGCATGTGCGCACATGCTTTTTCAGGCTCCGGGAAAATTATAGATGATAAAAAGTCCCCATAGATGGAAAATAAACTTCATTTTAAACACAAAGGAAACTGAAGGTGAAAAGAGAGACAGACACGAGCTATCAGCCCAGACTATATTAACCCTGAACCCCAGGCTATCAAAGGACATGTGCCTATTCCAGGCAGGATTTTACAAGTGGGACCATTTCCTCATCACCAGCATGCTCTTCCTCCTCGTGCACTTCTCCCATGAAAAGAGAAAGCAGCTCGACAATCCTGCTGCAGGGGCTGGTTGTGTTCTTAATTACAAGGGTTGTAAATCAGAAATAACTCCTTTGAAATCCATAAAGTTGTGTCAGAGGCTATGCTGGTGGGAGTCACAGTCAGGCCTCCCATTGTTAGTTTGAGTTTGTGTTTGTCCTACAGGAGCACCCAAAGGCCCCCTCGGAAAAAGGGACCTGCTGTGCTAGGTACTGCACAAGCAGATACTTAGAAATGCTGGGCGATTTCTTTTAAAAAGCTCCCAAGAGACTTATGAGCTTAAGCCTCATTGAACATCAGTGGAATTGAGGGACCAGGTCCAGATGAACAAATCAGGCTCCGTAAATGAGACTTGGCACCAATATGTTGGAGTACAAAGGTCTGACAGCACCTAAACTTCAGCTCTCGCACATGTGAAGAGCCACCAGGCACCTACATCCTAGCTAAGCTGCATCGTAGGATCTGATCTGGAAGGCCGGCTCAGCCTAAGCACACCTAACACACACCAACAGGACTACATTCAGGGCAAAGTGCTGGATTCAAAACCCCACTTGCAGGGATGATTTCTGGACTTTTGTCCCCTGACCATCTCATGTCAAATGCATGACGACTAGTCCAGGCAGTAGGCACTAGAACATGGTTTTTTCCCCTTCCCATCTGCACAACTAAGCTCCGTCTTGCTGGCCCCGTGCATCGGGGGATGCATTGCCCACGGCTGTTTTCAGGAGACGGGGAGGGTGGCCGTACACAGACTGGTCTCCAGCTTGCGAGTTAGGGCGCTCTGCAACAGCATGGGAGACGTGGGCTTGAATCATGTCAGGCTGAGGGTCTTCCACATCCTGGGTGAGTGCCCCAAGCACAATGCCATTACATGACAAGCAAGTGGCACCATCACCTTCCCATCTGGCTATGCTTACTGGAGACAGCGACTGTGGCAGATGGAGTTTTTTCTGACCTCGGTGTTGCCCACCAGATCCAATTAATTCAGACTCCCAATTAGTTTATGGGGCTGCTGGAGCAGGGCTATTCTGGATCATTTTTTCTTACTTAAGCACCTACATCCTACTGCTAAATTCCCTTTAGGCACCCAAGTCAGACATCTGGACCTCTGCTCTGAAGAACCTGCACTTTAATATGATCCAGAACACATTGACATTGATAGGAAAAGCCCCACTCATTTCAGCTGGTATTGGATTGAGAGGCAAGACATGAAGGGAAGGCATAAGCCTAGACAGGAGAGCTCCCCAGACCCAGACACAAAACCTGGAATTCAAAGCAAATGTCCAGAGACATTTGTAAACCGTAGGTCCCTCCTTCACAATTGTCCCGTTCTGCCAGTTGATGGGCCCCGTCCGCGTTCTGGACGAAGAAGAAAGCACCAAAAATACCAAGGAAAAAAGGGAAAGAAGAGGGAACTTGCTTCAGGGGCTTCCAGTTCTGATGCACAGTTTTCGCAACCTAGTTTAAATGTGGAGTCAGTGGCTCTGCACAGTTCAGAAAAGCAATCGGGCTCTAGCCTCACATCACATCCAAGTGCCAAAGAGTTTCATGCAAAACAGCTGTAACTTTTAGATCCCACTACTATCTGCTTTAATAAAACTT